ATATATATATATATATATATACACACACACACACGATTAATAAACTTTCCAATGGGACATTAATGTAGTTTGAACTAATGACAAACTTAAATTCGAAGGGCTCCTTCATGCCACATGCGTTGCGCAGTATTGCGCAACGCATAGACAAAGCCATTTCCTGTCCTGTTAGTTTAGCTCGCACCAGGGCAGCGTTGTAATGAGGACATTCTGCATTTTCACGTAGCGCATTTTGACGCAGCGCACTGCACAGAAACGTGTTGCGGCGCACAGAAATTACATATAATTTTATGACATTTCAATAAAGTTAAAAAAGTAAACAGTGCAACAATCCACCGCACCACCTCTGCACGATGCACACCAGCGGGTGCGTTAGGGGAGAAGGTGAGCCCACCGGTGTGAATGGGCCCTAAGCGGATATGCAGAATAAGAACAAGTAACAGCTGTTACACTCACGGCTCCCTGCAGGGATTCCCCCTCCCCACTCCAATCCTTCAGCGCTGACTGGCGGAACGGACGGGGGAGGGGGCGGGTACAGCTGGCTCTGCCTCTAGATAGGCAGAGCCAGCTGTCAGTCACGCATCTGGGTGGATCCAGACAATAATGTTGGGATCCGTCCCGGCTGCGGTGGTCTAAGTATACAGCGAGCTGTAGCTCCCTATATACTGAGCTTAGGGTGGCGGGAGGATGCTAGTGACACTGAGAACTATGGGGAAAAGCACTGACCCCATAGCTCTCCTTTAATGCATCAATGCACGCTTAACGCAACACAAGTGTCATGAATCCAGCCTTGGGGGCTCAGAGTACCAGGAGCATTCAGGAACGCAGAGCGGCAGGGCTCGGTGATGGAAGTCGGATGCTCGGCGCGGTCTCGGGTAGTAGAACGGGTGAAGTGTTCCCATACATTCCATGTACATCAATAGGAGTGCTGAACGCAGCTTACCGTGTGCACAGCCATTCCAGGATGCCGAGCCGAATGACTGAGGGGGTACATAGCAGTTCATGAATATTCGGGGGTCCCGATACGTACACACCCCTCACAGGCAGGCAGGACAGCTTCTAGAAGCAAAGATAGAATAAACCATAAGAGAAAAAAGGGGGGCGGGGTGCTCTTCCATTCCCCC